GTACTACTTCCTATTTACTACCTGTGTGCTCGACAACACCACCTGTATTTAACATATACCGTACCTACCATACATGTCAATGATGCCATGCATACCATACCTATCATACCTATCATATCTATCATACATACCATACATGCCATACATATGAAATGTAAAAACCACACCTACCATACATACAATAGCAAACATACATGCCATACATACCATACCTACCTTACATAGGAAATATTCTATACCCATCATAGTAACCATACATACCATACAGACCATACATACTGTCATATCAAACATACCATACCCAACAGACTTACATACCATACCTACCATCCATGCAATACCAACCACTCATGCCATACATACATACCAACATACATACATACATACATACATACATACATACATACATACATACATACATACATACATACATACATACATACATACATACATACATACATACATACATACCAACATACCAACATACCACCATACCACCATACCACCATACCACCACCACAGGCCACAGGGGGGGGGGCCAGAAGAAACAATACCACCCCCACAGGCAACAGGGGGGGGGACCAGAAGAATCATACCACCATCCCAGGCACAAGGGGGGGGGACCAGGGGGGGGGGAGGGGGGTGGGAGTCCTGGGTCATATATATATATATATATATTACAGTATTCTTCTTCTTCTTCTTCTTATTGTTATTATTATTTATATAGTGTTATTTATCATTTATTTATTATTTATTATTATTACTATCATCATCATCATCATTATTATTATTATTATATATTATTATTATTATTATATATTATTATTATTATTATTAATATATATATAATATTATTCTGTAACATATATTTATCATTTTGTCAACTGCCTTCGAGGACCTCAAGCTCAATTTTTGGAGTTCCGCTGGTGAAAGAAGCTCTGGTTTCAGGGTAGAAGGCACTTGGGCGTAGAAACCTTAAGGCTCTTCGATTCCATGACAACCAGTGGGGATCGAAAGCTCATGCCATTGGAGGATAGAAATTAGTTGCTTCAAAAAGCCTCCTGTCGAGGTGATCTCCAAGATCGAAAACGTGGAGGGCTTGAAGAACTTCGAGGAGCATTGGGGGTCTTCCAAGCGATGTGCGCCTAGCTGAAGTCAGGATGGTTCTCCATGCTGGTTGAACTCGATAGCCCAAATTCTATGCCTGAAAAAGCAAAGTCTCTCACAAGTTTTGTTGGTCCGGCAGGAGATCTTGGCGGAGTCCGATGGCATCATGGTGGCGCGCGGAGATTTGGGCATGGAGATCCCTATGGACATCTTGGATTTGCTGCGACGAATGCTTTCTTCTTTTCTGAGAGAAAACCGATTTGTGGATCCTTCTGGTTTTGTGCAGATCTGAAGGCATGGGTTGCAGAACTTGTAGCGGACACAACCTCCACAACTCTAAGGAGAAAGTGTGGATGGCTCAGAAGATGATGCTGAAGAAGACCAAGGCGGCTGGTAAATATGCCGTTTGTGCCACGGAGATGTTGGCATCCATGGAGGACGGGGCAATGGTAATGCCTTGCAGTTGACAAGGGACCGAGTTCACAAAATCGGTACCCAGTACTCGACCGATTTATGAAGTAACACACTCGCTACGTCGTTACGTAGCTACGTCGTTGAATGGCACCAATTGTGAAACACACTCGCGTCTCGTCGAGTTCCCATTGCAATTTCATGTGAGTTCAGTCGTGTGTTGGAGCGTCTGCCGCCAGGACAAGCCCTTCCCTACCCGCGCAGAGGCATGCGACGTGGCAAACGCCATCCTGGACGGTGCTGAGGCTGTCATGCTGAGCAGTGAGAGTGCCATGGGCAAGTCACCTGGGCCAGAAAACAACAGGTTGGAGGATTTCCATGGATTTCCTTGGTCATCTGATGTTAGGCCTGTTAGGCCCTGTTAGGTTAGGCATTGTGATTGCTCCTTTTCTGAAAGGATGGACATTTATGGAGATTGACCCTATTTCCAATCGAACAAGTTCCCAAGGAATGAGGGTCCAATATGGGGTCTAGATGTGGCACGCGTCAAAATGGCCTTGGTAGGCTGGGTGCTGGATAGTTTGACAAGAGGGCACAAAAAGGCCATTAACTCGCCAATGGTATTCAGTGTGTCGCACTTCCAAACATTGCCTGTATCGACTGCTATCTCCTTCACAGAAAAATCTTGCAAACAAATGCTCACCAAGTGCTCACCAAGTGCTCACCTGGGGCCTATAGCAGATTTGAGGTTCCCGGTGGAGACAGTGAACACCATGAGGAGGATTGTGGAGGAGGCTGAGCACGCCTTGGTCTCTGAACTGGTGGCTGCATGAACTGTGTGGTGAGGCCGTGTGCCGTACTTTTCCCAGCATCGAGGCTCAAGTTTGAGACTGCAGCTTCGGTGAAAATTTTGAAATTCCAATGGAAACAACATCTTTTCGGCCACAAAATGGCATCCATTGCCAATTTTCGGCCCTAGTGCCGGACTTGAAATTTCAATGCCTCAAGTCGGACAAAAGCGGTAGTGGGCCTGCGGAAGCGCCGACTTGTGACTTGTAAACATCCCGATCGACATGTGCATTTCTGTATAACATCCGGATGTGACCCCATCTTTCGTTGCAAGATTTATGTACGAGTCGTGATAAACCTGCCAGAGATTTTGGGCAGTCTGACCAAGCCCGTCTGCAATCTGTGAGGCGTTTGTAAAGGTCGAGACCGTGTCTGTCAAAGAGGATTTACACAAACGCTTCAGGCTATTGGAAGATTTGGAAGCTGGCAAATTCAGAACAACTGCATGTCATGGGACCACCACAAGTTGCACCACTGCGTCATGCGCGTTTTTCGAACAATTTCTTGTATCTTCTGAACACTTCACCTCAATTGATGATTCATTGGGAGGCCAATGGGCTGCCACATACACTTGAGGCATTGGGAACGGTTTGGATCTTGCCAGGGAGAAACTGAAGCGCATGGCGCCGGACACCGCAGTGCTTGACCCGCACCTGTTGAAGAAGAGTTTGGTCGGGGACTCAGGGAGTTCATTGGTCCTGAGATGACATGCCGTGACATGCCTTTATTGTGCGTCAGATGGTACTTGAAGTCCACCAAAAAGGGTGCTTTGTTGGAGGCACACCATTTTTTTGCATCAATTCATACTTTTGCATGTCTTCATTGGTTTTTCGCAGCACCCAAACGCAAGAGTCAGCTTTCCAGAAAATGGTCGCTGAAATGAAAGCTCCTGAGCTTTGAGACATGTATATAGTATTATATAGTTATATAATGTTATATACACATATCTTTTTGAGGGCATTCCATTGGTAGATCTGAATTTGCATAAGCTGTTGGAAGCTATGAGCACATTTCAGACCACAAACCGTCACAAACCCCAGCCGGGAATGAGATTACCTGCAGTCCTGTCAGATCTTGCAGCGATACAGTTAGACAAACATGTAAGTAGTGTAATGATTCTCATGAAATGCAACTAATTCAATTGTACCCCCAAACGCTGTCCAAGACTATGGGGGTTCTCATTTTCATCCAAAAAGAAAGGCCCGGCCATTCAAAGCAATTCAACCATCCTCATGAGACGGCAGGAATGTTCCCATTTTGGACAGTAGGGAATGAGGGAGCCTTGAATGAAGATACATCCTACTGATTCCTCCTGAAGCTCTTAAAAGTCTCACAAGCACTCTGGGTGAGCAGCTGCATGCACCACACAGGATAGTCTTGTTAACGAGATCAAAAAGGACTTTGAGATGAAGTGTGGAACTCGGGATCTCCTGAACGATCTTGAAAGGGCACCGAATTTGAGAGTTTTGAGACGGTAGAGTTTATTCTCTCTGCCTGGGTCGGGTTTTGTCTTAGGCTCAAACCTTGGCGAATGCCTGAAGATGATGAGGCTCAGGCGCGCTTGTTTGTGCCCAGTGCGGGTCTGGGAAAATCCAGAGCTTCGACATTTGGATGGTCAGACCATCTCACTTGGAAAGCAGATGAAAGCAGGCCATGGTCATAGTCACGGACATATCTTCGGCCGGTGCGGTGCCAGGTGGTGGGAGACTTCCACCAGGCATTGATGCAGGCGGGTGGGTAAATGTCGAGTCGAAGGAACTCACCTTGTTGTTTAATTTGTCTACACTGTCTAGACTGAGTCTATACAAATTGTACAATGCCGAAGCTGCAAGGCTAACAGTTTGCCACACACCTTTTGGAGAGCTCGTCTCTGTCCCTATCATTTTCCAGCTTTAAATCAGCTTGATGCAGGCAGTGCAACATAGGACCATCGTCAACGATCAGCAGGCAGAGGGCATGTGGTACAGTTGTCTTATCAAGAGGATTCAGGTGCTTCTCAAAACCATCAGCTAGATTCGGCATAGGAACAAAATGAAAGAAGTGAGAAACTGAAGATCATAGCAGCATTAGGCACCTAAAATGAGCAAACGTATATCAGTTTGCTAGGTGCCATACTGTATATGTTGCATGGCAAACGCATAAATATATAGTTGTATGATGTTATATGTTAGATATTGTTGGATTGAGCTCGCACAGTCAACCATGGGATGGCACCTGCGACTTCAGGGTATGGGTACGGGCCTTTGTGGAAGGCAGTTGAGCAGATTTCATTTTGCTGTCTGCCGTTGCTTGCAGAGTCTGCTTGCTCAAGCAGACTCAGACCCAACGACCGGTCGGGCGACCAACGCGCCGGACTGGGCTTGGCAACCCCCGGGACCCTTGTCGCGCGGGAAGTTTTCTCAGCGCGACTGCGACGCTGCTCTGAGAGCAGTGGATAGTGACTTAGCAAAGCGGGAACAAGTAAATTTTGCTGAAACAGGGAGTGACCATCACTTTGTCGTTTTTTGAAACCTTCATGTCAATGCCCATGGTCAGGTTACCGGGCTGGGTCCTAGACACACTAGGCTGCAAAACCTTGTGATGTGTGGTTTCTCAAGGGCTCTGTTTGTTCCCGTGACTGGTAAGCTGATCGTCGTCGATTGTCGACTAGACTGTATACATCGATTAAGTTTTGGGCTTTTACAAAGGGGTGCCTTAGCCACCAAAAACCAGTAACAGAGATTTCACCCTGTTGATGGCGACCTGCTCTTTTTGCAGATGCAGAGAACCATCATGCAGCTGTCTCAATGCTACATGCTCTTGTTTTCACTTGACACAATTCTTCTTTCGCACTCGCTGGTCACTTTGAACACACCTCTTTTGGTTGGGGGTGTATCAAGAATCTGCTTGGCTCGAACGTTTGTCTCGCAGGAAGACTTGCGCAGATGCGCGCTGGTTGGTCGGACTTTGAAGAAAGGTTTGATCCATTTTTTGTTGGGGACTTCAACTCTTTTGGGGCCCTTCAGTATTTTCAATTGTTTGAAAGTTGGACCCTCGTGCATGCACTTGGGCCATTGGCACTTGGCCATTGGGTCCATGGCCACCTGAGGCCAAGATGGAGCTTGGGGCCGCCGGCGCCGCAGCGGCGGGCGGCGTCGGGGTGGGGCTCTTCGGATACAACCGCGGCAACTACATGATGGATCAGAAGCACCTTGGGCTTTCTTGGACTTAGTGGGTGAAAATCATTGAAAATCCAGTGGTCATTCTTGACGATTCGTAATAATTATATTAATTATACTGTTCCTTTTTTGGCACACAATCGGCAGGCTGCGATTTGGTTTAGGTATGTTTGGTTGTTGTTTGTTATAATTGTTGTGACTGTTGTGCTTTGTTTTTCTCTCTGTTGCGAGGCTTCACTGGGCTCGCTTTAATGCGGGCTTCAACATGGCTTGTGCGCAGACCGATCAGTACAAGGAGCCGCTAAACCCATGAGTAAGTCGCATCCAGAAAGATGTCAGTTTCATTCTGCGAGCTTTGTGCTAGCTTTGGGAAACAGGTCTTCCTCTCCCAATGAACTATATCAGCCCACGGAGATGAATACATCAATAGTCAATAGTTGTTCTATTGATTATTCTCTGTTTGTTTTCAAGTGTCCTTGTCAGGAAAATATCCCATTTGTTGCATTAGTTGAACTCTGGTCCTTCAATGCTTCACCCATCTCGAAACAGGAAGACTTGGTGGACTTGACGACCTTGACAACCAACCGCATGCACGTCTACGCGGATCCTTGGCTCTGGGGCCTAGGGTAGTTGGATGTAGTTGGTCCATGGATCCGTCTGCATACTCGCCGAAGTCTTAGCAGATGTGTCTTGCTTGTCCGTGTAAGGACATTGCTGGCATGACCGCCACCATTCTGACTGCGATTTTTTGCCCTGGGCGTGTTGGTTTGCATACACCACCTCCACCTTCTTGGCTCATGGGCTTGATGATGGTGAACGTGGGAGGCAGGGCGATAGCATTTTGTGCATGATCCCCTTTCATGATGTCCACGAGCTGGCCATGGCTGTTCTCTTTTAGCCCTTTAATGAACTTCAATGCTTCAATGCAATGTTGCAAGTACAACATGTTCCAATTTACTGGCCTGGCGCAAGGTGCTTACATTTGGCTGGGGCTCACCATGTGGCTGGCTATGCATGCTTGCCTGCGCGCCAACGCGGCAACAACTCACATGCTCACCCGCTTCGTCAGGCAAGATGCGGAGGGGTTTGGTTGCTGTTTGGTTGCTGGAATTACAATCGACTTGACAATGGACTTATATTTTGAGCAGTTGGAGTCACCAGCCATGGTTTAAACAGTTGCACGGCTTGGGCCAACTGTGAGCAAAGAACTCATGAAGAAGAACGAACGGATGGAACAAGGGCTACGGGAAAACCTCGGGGTCTAGCCGGCTAGCCAAACTTTGGTTCAACCAAACCTTTCGTGACTCTGACATGTGCTGAGAGACTCAAGAAGGCAATCAACAGCAGGCGGAATTAACATGTCCCCATGGGATACCAGTGCTGCCAGGCTTCCGATTCCTGCGAACTTTATGTGCCTCGGTTTTAAACCTGCGGCCGATCTTGTTTCACTGTTTCGTTGCTTGATGTGCAAATGCACGCCTGTACACATGTCCATCTCATACGCCACCTGTGTTGGCGGGGTTGGAGGTTGGATCGTGCTCGAAAGTTCTTGGGATCCTGGGAAGAGCAACCATTGCGAGAGGCGCGGATGACACCCGAGGGTCACTGGCATTCCCGAATCAAATTGTATACGGTATACGATATACGATACAGCAAATATACAGCCCCGCTTTACACAGCTCTTTGGATGGTGTTTTGAAGCTTTTTGCGAAACAACAAGGATTCCTTTCAACGCTTCCAATCAATTCCAACCATTGCGAGCCCAGAGTACAACAGTTTTTAAGTGGATCGAGGCGCACTTGTGTTTGGAGGAATGCCGTCGTTGGTGTTTTTTTTGCTTATGTAGCATTCCGGGTGAGTCCAAGCTTGCAGTGTGCCAAAACATGCCAAAATGCTTTGCTAAGTTGCGCCCTGTGCCGTTTTTGGCATTTCGACCATTCTGTGCAGTGGATTCTGCATGTGCAGGTCACCTGCATGAACATTCAAGTCTGATTTCTATAATGACTCTTTCAGGAAGCAACTTCAGGAACCAATCTGTGTAGGATTCGCGCTGAGGGTTCACAACAGGGGGAACGGAAATAACTATATAGTTACTTACCTATCCAGATTTCCCGCATGAAGCACAGCATTGCAAGCATCCAAAGGTTGCACTCAAAACTTCTCAGCCGGAAGCCTAACAGGAATTGACAGGGAAAGTAGTATAAAGTAATTACCGTTCCAGTTCCAGAACACGAGCCAACCTGTACGGCCAGACTCGACTGATGCCTGCAGGTCTTGCGCATTCCTTGGACGCGGCATCAGCAACTCGCCACAATGGTTTCATAGATTCAGCAAGCCTGTGGACATTTTCGATGAACATCTAAATACTGCATTGTATTCCCAATCATGATGTTCTCATGGGTTCAGTCCCATGATTGTTGGTTATACCGTCTCCCTACTGGTTGTTGGTCACATGTCCATTTGCATGCGTATGTCATGTAATACCCAGGGTCAATTGGAAAACCAAGAGCTGCCTAGGTACAACAGCACTGACGAGCAGAGCTACAACGAAGGGATGGAAATCGACACACAGCTGACCGGTAGGGGAAGCACTGGCCATTCTGGCAGAACAGACGGGCTCAGTTGGCTCAGGATTAGAATTATGATGAATTATGGTTGTTGTATGTTGTTGTGACATGTGATGTATACGAACACCCGTCAAATCTATTCAACCATATCAAGCCATGTTTCAAACATGTTGCCACACCATCCAATCCATTCGGTTCTTGTTTTTTTTTTGTTTGTGTTTTCTTATGCTGAGTGTTCGACGACCAACATCCCAGGATGAAGCAGCGCAGCGACGCACCAGACACGGCATTGACGTGCCCTCCTGGTACCGCAAGGAGCAAGCCATTGATACAGGCAGTGGGCATGGGGCAGCGTTGAATGCTTGCCCCTAAAGTCTCACAACATGGATATACAATGATTACACAAAACGGTATCTCAACATCTCTCATGACGGTCCAGGCGAGCCCTTCGAGAGCATGCTGCTTGGAGCAGATTTCGTCGATCTTCAGTGATATGCACGGTTTAGAATTCAAGAACGACAAGAAGGGAGGACCACGTCAAACCCTTACATGCATTTTTGCTAACCTTAACTGTTTTTTTTTCTAACGTCTATTTGGAAAATTTTACTCACCATAATATTTTACTAAACCTTAATTTTGAAGGTTTTCAATAACTTTTATATTTTGCATAAGGTTAGGCAGAAGCATAGCGGAATAATATAGATCTTACATAATATATATATATATATACACATACACATACACATACAACCACATACACATACACATACACATACACATACAAATATCTATCTATCTATCTATCTATCTATCTATCTCTCTTTTATCTATTTCTCTATCTTTCCGTCTATCTATCGATCAAACTGTCTCTCTATGTATCTGTCTATCTGTCTACCTATCTACCTATCTACCTATCTACCTATCTACCTATCTATCTATTCTATCTATCCTATCTATCCTATCTATCCTATCTATCCTATCTATCTATCTATCTACCTACCTATCTATCTATCTATCCATCTATCTATCTATCTATCTATCTAGCTATCATCTATCTAGCTATCAAGCTATCAAGCTATCAAGCTATCTAGCTATCTAGCAATCTATCTATCAATCTATCTATCTATCCATCCATCCATCCATCCATCTATCCGATCTATCCGATCTATCCGATCTATCCGATCTATCCGATCTATCCGATCTATCCGATCTATCCGATCTATCCGATCTATCCGATCTATCCGATCTATCCGATCTATCCGATCTATCCGATCTATCCGATCTATCCGATCTATCCGATCTATCGGATCTGTCTGATCTGTCTGATCTGTCTGATCTGTCTATCTGTCTATCTGTCTATCTGTCTATCTGTCTATCTGTCTATCTGTCTATCTGTCTATCTGTCTATCTGTCTATCTGTCTATCTGTCTATCTATCTATCTATCTATCCTATCTATCCTATCTATCCTATCTATCCTATCTATCCTATCTATCCTATCTATCCTATCTATCCTATCTATCCTATCTATTCTATCTATCCTATCTATCTATCTATCTAACTATCTATCTATCTATCTATCTATCTATCCTTCTATCCTATCTATCCTTCTATCCTATCTATCCTATCTATCCTATCTATCCTATCTATCCTATCTATCCTATCTATCCTATCTATCCTATCTATCCTATCTATCCTATCTATCCTATCTATCCTATCTATCCTATCTATCCTATCTATCCTATCTATCCTTTATCCTATCTATCCTATCTATCCTATCTATCCTATCTATCCTATCTATCCTATCTATCCTATCTATCCTATCTATCCTATCTATCCTATCTATCCTATCTATCCTATCATATCCTATCTATCCTATCTATCCTATCTATCCTATCATATCCTATCTATCCTATCTATCGTATCTATCCTATCTATCCTATCTATCGTATCTATCCTATCTATCCTATCTATCCTATCTATCCTATCTATCCTATCTATCCTATCTATCCTATCTGTCCTATCTGTCCTATCTGTCCTATCTGTCCTATCTGTCCTATCTGTCCTATCTGTCCTATCTGTCCTATCTGTCCTATCTGTCCTATCTGTCCTATCTGCCCTATCTGTCCTATCTGTCCTATCTGTCCTATCTGTCCTATCTGCCCTATCTGTCCTATCTGCCCTATCTGCCCTATCTGTCCTATCTGCCCTATCTGCCCTATCTGTCCTATCTGTCCTATCTGTCCTATCTGTCCTATCTGTCCTATCTGTCCTATCTGTCCTATCTGTCCCTATCTGTCCTATCTGTCCTATCTGTCCTATCTGTCCTATCTGTCCTATCTATCCTATCTATCCTATCTATCCTATCTATCCTATCTATCCTATCTATCCTATCTGTCCTATCTATCCTATCTATCCTATCTATCCTATCTATCCTATCTATCCTATCTATCCTATCTATCCTATCTATCCTATCTATCCTATCTATCCTATCCGATTCTAATCCCTCTCAGCCCATCTATCTTATGTAATCTATCTAGATCGAGCACCGCCGAATCCGAAATCTAGTCTAGCTAATCTAATCTATCTTCTATCTTTCTAATCTTTCTAATCTGTCCTATCTGTCCTATCTGTCCTATCTTCCTATCTGCCCTATCTGCCTACATTGTCCTATCACCTGTCCTTCCTATCTAAGCATAAGCTAGCCTATATATCCTATCCTACTATCCTATCTGATCTATCTAATCTATTTAAATCTAAATTTATCTTAATCTTATCTTAAGCTTATCGTATCTTATCTTATCTTTATCTTGCTTATCCTATCTATCTGTCTATCTATCTATCTAGCGACCACCGTCTACCTCTACCCTCTACCTTCTACCTATCTGTCCTATCTATCCTATCTATCCTATCTATCCTATCTATCCTATCTATCCTATCTATCCTATCTGTCCTATCTATCCTATCTATCCTATCTATCCTATCTATCCTATCTATCCTATCTATCCTATCTATCCTATCTATCCTATCTATCCTATCTATCCTATCTATCCTATCTATCCTATCTATCCTATCTATCCTATCTATCCTATCTATCCTATCTATCTATCTATCTATCTAGCTTATCTATCCTATCTATCTATCCTATCTAATCCCATCTAATCCCATCTAATCTTATGTAATCTTATCTAGTCTTATCGAACCTCATCTAATCTAATCTAGTCTAATCTAATCTAATCTAATCTTTCTAATCTTTCTAATCTGTCCTATCTGTCCTATCTGTCCTATCTGTCCTATCTGTCCTATCTGCCCTATCTGTCCTATCTGTCCTATCTGTCCTATCCTATCCTATCCTATCTATCCTATCCTATCCTATTCTAATCTAATCTAATCTAATTTAATCTAATTTAATCTAATTTATCTTATCTTATCTTATCGTATCGTATCTTATCTTATCTATCTATCTATCTATCTGTCTATCTGTCTATCTACCTATCTACCTATCTACCCATCTACCCATCTACCTATCTACCTATCTACCTATCTACCTATCTACCTATCTATCTATCTATCTATCTATCTTATCTATCTTATCTATCTATCTATCTATCTTATCTATCTTATCTATCTTATCTATCTTATCTATCTTATCTATCTTATCTATCTTATCTATCTTATCTATCTTATCTATCTTATCTATCTTATCTATCTTATCTTTCTTATCTATCTTATCTATCTTATCTATCTTATCTATCTTATCTATCTTATCTATCTTATCTATCTTATCTATCTTATCTATCCTATCTATCCTATCTATCCTATCTATCCTATCTATCCAAAAAATTTTTTCCCCTTACAAATCTATCTTATCTATCTTATCTATCTTATCTATCTTATCTATCTTATCCATCTTATCTATCTTATCCATCTTATCCATCTTATCTATCTTATCTATCTTATCTATCTTATCTATCTTATCTATCTTATCTATCTTATCTATCTTATCTATCTTATCTATCTTATCTATCTTATCTATCTTATCTATCTTATCTATCTATCTATCTATCTATCTATCTATCTCTATATCTCTATATCTCTATATCTATATATCTATATATCTATATCTATATCTGGACTCTGGACATACACCACGGCTTTCATACGCAAGTGGTTGTTCTGTAACCACTCTTCATTTGCTGTGGAGGGAAACTGGGGGAAGGAAAGGCGCGTAATTCTACGGCAAGTTCCGGGAAGTCTTAATGTAGCCAGCACGGGAGTTTCCGAGAGGTTTAACACTAAAACCTGCCATGGAGTCTGTGCAGGTTTTTGTTTTGTAACCATGCTTCCCTTGCAGTGGAGTGAACCTGCAGAAGGGAAGGTTACGGCGGTTACGGGATGGTGCAGTAGGTTGCGGCTGAGAGAAGATACGGGAGGCCACGGGAGTTACGTCACTTTGCGGGAGGTTACAGTAGATATCAGCAGATTATACGGAAGCTGCGTGAGGATACAGGACAAGGCAACAAGAACCGGGACAAAGTCTGATACATTATGCAACAAATATGGGGTGTCAGTGACATAGCTTATGAGAATGCTTATACTGGCGGCTAAGTGACACAGGCAATGAAACCCGAAATATTGACATATTGAAGAAACCTGGTGATTGGCGGCAACTGGGTGCCAACTGGGTGCCAACGGTCACAATTTGTACCACCTCTCAGGCCATGGGCCCTTTCCAGTCTCTGAAGGAATATGAAGCCAACGGTGACAAATGGTGACAAATGGTGATGGCCACTAAGGATGCCTTTGGCTGCACAGGGCACTGCCCCAGAGCACTTTGAGGTGAAGGGAGGGCTCCCACTGTCCACGTCATTGATGCCTTTAGTTACATCGACGAGTTCATTCTTTCATTGATGCCTGTTTCTTCACCAAGAGATCCACAAGACCAAATAATGCTGATTTTGACCATCTACTCCGAGTCTACTCCCGTGCTTGAGTTTTTTCCATAGCCATTGCAGGTGTACCGCGAGATTCAGAACGAATGGTGGCCATACGACGTATACGCCCGAATCAGCATCTTCTTGGCCTTCATGCAGCTCAGCAGATCATACGGAGGTTCCATGGAGGTTCTGCGGTGCCAGGAGTTGGTTTGACTGAGGGGTGTCACAGATTGAAACATTTTTGGGAATCAGGGGTTCAAATTAATCATGTGTTCTTGGGCTATCTACTTCAATCTATGCCTGGGTGTGATCCGTTTCGTTTGTGCTCCAAACTTTGATCCATACTTGGCATTACTTGGCCGCGCAACCGAACAGTGTGTGTGGGGTTGTCACATGGTCTTGACCAGTTTGCTGTAAATGGCTGTAGGGCTCACTCACAGTGATTCACAGTGCGTTCTGAGTTGCAGCACGTTCGAACAGTTTGGTGGTCAGACCTATGGGCCGCTGTCTAGTATCTACATTAATCTACATTCTTACTTTGTTGGAAAGACTCTGGAAAGACACAAGAGCTGTATACAGTAGTTCAACATGTGGTCAGTCTGCAAGGGCAAGGTGGAACCTGAATCTCAGGAGGGTCGCGCAATTCCTGTACCTTGCGGTCTTATCCACCTGAATTTGGTATGCCACAGCAGCACATGACCAATAACGAATATGAAGAGTGGCCCCATATATAAGTCCAGTTATGAAATGCTATGGCAAGGTAGGTGCAGCGATGACCCTAACCGCTAGTAAGTGGCATGGACGGTATGGATTTTGCAATATGCCAGCGGTCAGCCTACAGTGTCTCCAGTGTCGACAGTTTCTGCACATTGCTGAATGAATTCTTTGCAACCGGTCCTCTTACCGGTCCTCTTTGAAATTTCTTGTTCTCCAAGGCATTTGCTCCACTGCTGGACCTATCAGCACATGGGCCACCTCTTTTGTGAGAACCGGGCCGTCTTCGCGGCCGGCTTGGTGTGCATTCCAACCTGCGTGTTGCAGTACCTAGGGTGCAGCGCGAGGGAGAGGATTCAAAAGGGATTCAAAAGGATTCTAGAATATGTGTTCAGGAATTCAAAAAGCACCGGCGCAATGTAAAATAGTGATGTTTCATAGATAAAACGGCAAGAAATCCGATGTGTCAAAAGGAATCGTGAGACAGACATGGTCCTATAATCGGACTCGTTGATCAATTCTAGATGTTGGCCAATATTAATTAATCGCACACAGAAACGTCAACTGCCACGTGTGGGGATGCAAGGGGATGATGTAGGATGCGCCTCTACGGCGATCACGGATCCTTTTTGGGAACTGTGGCAATTGGCCGAGGCACATTCTGCTAACCTTGGACATCATGCCGGGTCAACTGAACTTTTCTTTGCAGCTGGGTGGTGGTTTTAGCATGTTTCAAGCGTTGTTGCAGCTTTTCCCCAAAAAAGGAACTACGGGAGAATACCTCCTAGAATCAATACTCTCAGACATGACAGGACAAAGAGCCAAAAAAGGGAACACAATTGGACACTTCAATTTAACTTTGAGGTGGGTTTTAATCCAGCAGGCAGCGTTTGGGCCCCTTCGCCCAAATTGTGGCATGGATCGCCTTGGCCATTGAATACCAGCCCTACTACGACCCTGGTACCGCGGCCATTGGCTATGTTCTTGTTTACGTGGCCTATGCCTTTCACATCGTCCAAACCTCAGCTTAAAAACATCAAAATTCTGAGCCGTACAGTTGCCCCTTCGTCACCTAATCTTGAAACAGAGAGTCTACCAGATGGCATGGAATCCAGCAGCTGGGTTTTAGCGGCTCGCTTCAAAAATGTGGCAAGATAATTCAAGATACTTCAAGGTACTGTGCGTTAAGACGCTTCGAGATACTTCAAGATACTTTAAGAGGCTTCAAGTGCATCTCACCACTGGAGGGCCTGGTGCCCCATTGAGCTGCCCAGATCTACACCATTCAGCTGCTGCGCATTTGTGCCCCGGACTTCTCTGCACCGGACCAGGCAGAGGTGCCACAAGGCCATGGGTGTTGAACTTATTGAAAACATTTGAAAATGAAGGTGCAGGACGTTTGGGACATTTCAGGCGATTAGATTCTGGAGGCTTCATACTTCTCGGCGTTGAACTAGTTCTTTGAATTAGTATAACCTTTCTATAGCAAATTCAAGGAAAAAGTGGGGAGGCCCAAAGCATAGGGGTGCCATGACTTCAGGCAATTATTCAGGCTTTCAGGCGATTATTCAAGAACCCAGGATTGCCTTGATTTTGGGGTTCACCTCCAAACAATTTACAAACGTTCAATGTTGTTTCCACATCTCATCCCAACCTCTCATTCTCTTATGCAGGCACCTGGTGGCCTGGACAATGGCGTTTGCCCAAAGCTTTCAAGTGACCTGGATGGAATGGATAATGGATGGAATTTCTTGGATTGGGGGCTCATGGGGGCTCGGATAGTTCGGGGCCTTCTCCTTTTTTTGAAAAAATATTTGGGACAATGGGATAGATTTTGAGGAGTATCAGTATCATTCGGCTGCCCTGATCATTTGTTGACAAATGGAAAATGTATCGCCATGGGGTAAGTGTCGAGAGACCTGTGCTGATGGTGTGTTGCTGTCACCTGGGAGAAGAGTTCAGCTATGTCAAAGAAATTGACTGGAAACCAACACTTGAAACTGGGGGCCTGCTGCCTAAAGATTTGACATGGAAGCTGGACCACAGTATGGTTTCCCATTTTCTTGTCCTTTCTTTTGATGTGGCCATTTCTCAGTTGCTTGCGAATTTGAAAACGAAATGCGTGGGTACTTCTCACCTCAAGGCGCTCACTTGGCCTCCCCTAGATGAATTCATGATGGAGTGTAGAAGCAACAAATGGACCACTGGACCACGGGAAAGGATCCAGATTCCACAAGAACACATTTTCATGCTGAGTTGACAAGTAGCGGTCCAACTTGGCGGGAGCTCATGTTCCTTTTTGACTTGATTTCATATGTAGGCAAGTCTTGACCAGGGCCGGCCACAACATCCATGAGGCACGCAGTTTGGCTGGTTGCACCGCCCAGACACCTCGAGCCAGGACAGAATGACTTGGACTCTTGGATTGTAGACTTTGTAGACCATGGACGGTGTTGGTCAAAGACGTTTGGCACCAGGCTTCAGCATTTGTACCGCATTTGTTTGGCTCTGGGAAACAGTCAGGTCATACAAATCCAGTCTTGATGCTCAGCACCCAAGCGTTGTCAGGGTGCCATTGATGTTTATGTTTGGTGCTTCTTCTTGTTGTTGTTGTTGTTGTTGTTGCTGTTGTTGTTGTTTTGCACACTTCGTTTTGCGCCTTGCTTAGGCTGCTGTCCAACCTTGCTGTTGTCCCTGTTTGAATTTCCTCTGAAATCCTGGTGTCAACAGGGATGGTGGTTGGATCACAGCTAGCGAGGTGGGTGAGATGCGCAAAACATCGGAGGGCGGAACTCAGACCGCTGGACAAGCTGGGCGGCTGACCTTTGATGCTGTGGAGGTGGGGCTCTGATGATATGGGTGGAGTGTTTATGCACTTTGTTGCGTGAAACGTTTTCAAATGAGATAGGGATACAGAAAATTGCTAAGTGTAAATCAAGTGCAGACACCAGATGGAGGATTGTCAGCTCGCTTATCGGAAAACTTCTTCGAAGTAATATGGAATTTCCATGAATTTCCTATCTCCGTTAAGGTCTAGTCCAGCAAGGAATTGGACCAGATTGGATTGCCTTTGTTTTCCCTCCCATGATGCAGACTTTTGGCCTGTTGCCAGGCGAAACGCCGAGATGTGCATCGAGCCCTTGGAAAGCAAGGAGAATCCCCAGCGTGGTTCAATGTGCGCACGGGCCTGCTGGGCTTGTTAGTCTCCGGATTGCAATGAGAACCTGCAGAGAACCTGCAAAGTCATGGCCGGTTGGCCATTACTGGCGCATGTGTGTGTGTGTGGGGTCGTGATAGTAGTATGTAGTGGTATGTAGTAGTGTGTAGCAGTATGTAGTAGTATGTAGTAGTATGTAGTAGTATATAGTATTATATAGTAGTGTGTAGTAGTATGTAGTATGTACTATGTAGTAGTATGTAGTAGTACTGTATGTAGTAGTCTGTAGTAGTCTGTAGTAGTCTGTAGTAGTATGTAGTAGTATGTAGTAGTATGTAGTAGTATGTAGTAGTATGTAGTAGTATGTAGTAGTATGTAGTAGCTTCGGTTTTGGTTGATTTTAATGTTTCATCTTCCTGTCGCTGCAGTTGTGTGATTGCTGTTGGTGTTGCTGTCGCTGGATCACAACAACAACAATGATGATGATGATGATGATGATGGTGGTGGTGGTGGTGGTGGTGGTGATCGGCTGTTGGGTCGGTCGAGTGCTGACCAGTTGCGTTCGTAGACCAATATGAAAGCAGTTCGGTTAAAAGGGCTGGTGACTGCCACACGGGGCTTGAGTCGGAATAAGCTACAGGCAAATGACAAAGTCGTCTCTTTTTTTCTAATTCCCAAAGCAGTGTGTCCGCACCGAGGGTTCTTACGGCAGGTGTTAAGGCCCGGTGTTGAATCGAGGTGGTAGTATCCGTGCCCGGCCAATTCCCTGTAAATTTCTCTTGTGACATGTCGATTGCGCAGGCTCGCACAAAACGGGTGTCGCGGCCGAAGCGTACGGCATTTTCTTTGTAAATTTCCGCGCAAAATGGCTCTTGTGCATTTCGACTGCGCAGGCTCGCGCAAAACGATGGCCTCGGGCGATGCATCCGGTTCATTAAAATTTCCGCACAAAATAGCTCTTCTGACATGTCCATGTGAATTTCGACTGCGCAGGCTAAAAAGCATCTCTGCATCTTTCAGAGGGCTCTGGCGATACAAAATCTCTATCACACGATCTCTGAGCAAGACCTCTGCTCTCTTCACCAAGTCTCTGTACAAAATCTCCACACGAGGTCCCGTAGCAAGATCTCTGTACAAGATCTCTATAGGAGCTCTGTTGGCAGGGGTCTCCAAAAGAGGTCTCTTGGCAAGATCTCTTTAGACTCTAGAATCAACAAGCACCCTGTAAAGGTCTCTTGGCGAGATTTCTGTAAAAGCAGTCGAAGGCACATGGACTTGTCGCAAGAGCAAGTGAGCCGTACGTTTAGTGCGACCCTGCGCACGCAAAAGACACCTGGACGTTTCACAAGAGCCATTTTGTATGGAAATTCACAGGAAGCACCCCAGACAACCCGGCCGCGGCCATCGTTTCGTGCGAACCTGCGCAGTCAAAATGCACATGGACATTTCACCAGAGCCATTTTGTGTGGATTTTTCTGGGAAAATGCCAAGCGCTAATCTAATACTGCGACACCCGTTTTGTGCGAGCCTGCGCAGTCGAAATGCAGACGGACATGTCAGAAGAGCCATTTTGTGCGGAAATTTACAGGGGAAATGCGGACGCGTCGCCAGCGGCCATCGTCTTGTGCGCACTTTCCATGATCTTGGAAAGGCATCCCCCTTACCATTTCCACTACTAAAAGGGTGAACACGTGCTTGATACCATCCCTTGTTTCGTGGAGAATTCAAGCAAAAAAAATGGACCCGTGCACCAGTTTTTGTAGTAAAAGGGCGTGCGCTGCATCTTGTAGCGGCGTTCCATTTGGCACTTGAAAATCGGAAATGCATTTTGTAGTGATTTATTTTGGGATGCGTTGTGTCGCACCGTAAACCCTATATAGCCCTCTTTTGCCAGTCATGCTCGGCGCGCGCGCATAGTCAAACGTCGAAATGTGGGAAAGAACCTCGCCCTAACAACAGGAAGCTTTATTTTCTAAGCCATCCAATGGCGCCATCAAACCCTCTCAAAACAACATCAGCAAGTGGCACCCCATAAAACACCATTGCACATCCTTCTTGCCATTCCATGTGTAAGTTAGTTATGATTAAATGGTGTTTTTGCCTATTATACCGCCAAGATATGCCAATATACAATATACCATTTTTTTCCCCAGATACTATGGAATATGGCCCTGAAATAATTTTACGCGACATCTTCCCATTATAACTATCCCACCTGTAAACCCCATATCTGGCTAAAATGTCCCTTGCTACAAAAAGGGGCAAACCATTTGTTACTACAAAAAGAGGTGTTCCCGTAAAAGTTGTTTGGCCCAATCCACATCCTTCTTACCATTCCTTGTGTGGGTTAGTTATGATTAAATGGTGTTTTTGCCTATTATACCGCCAAGATATGCCAATATACAATATACCATTTTTTCCCCAGATACTATGGAATATGGCCCTGAAATAATTCTATGCGAGGCCTTCCCATTATAACTATCCCACCTATAAACCCCATATCTAGATAAAATGTCCCTTGCTACAAAAAGGGGCAAACAATTTGTTACTACAAAAAGAGGTGTTCCCATAAAAGTTGTTTGGGTGTGAACAATTTTAAAGGGGACTATCTATACAATAATGGGAGTATAATACAGTATAATATGGTTAGTGTTGATTAATTGGGGATTACTTTCCATTAATACTTCGCTACGACCTGGGCCCCGGAAAGTAAGCCAAAGATTTAGAGTGAAATTTCCAGAAACCATTTAGTAGCGAATCATGATTTTTCACTGCAACCCGTTTGCGTAACCATTTTGTAGTGACCCACATTAGCTTTTGATCCACCATCAAAAAACCCCAATTACATTTTGTAGCAGGGGGGTTGGTTCAGATTCAAGCAGCATTTTGTAATTTTGTAGTATAAGGCTGTGTTTGTAGACGGATGAGTGGGCACAACTACCCTGCAGAATGCACACAGGGATCTAGTTTCTGGATGACTTTTGTCATGCGCTGCATTTTGTAGTGACACACGCGTGCACAACTTTTTGTAGAACCTACTGCGTCTCCCTCCAGATAAGCCCCAAAAAGTTCGAAAAACATGCTTTTTATGTAGAGACTTCAAGAAGGAAAAATGGGACAGATTTGGTTTAAAACCAATCAATTGAATTTGAAGTTGTGCGCTTAGATGGTTTTTGTTGCCCCATAGCTATGACGATTGCAGTTCAAAATCTCTGCGCCGTGCTTTTGTCACACCTATTTTGGCGATTACATGCGATTACCAATCATAATCTAAACGTATCCCATTCTACTAGATTCCTGCTCTTTTTGTCCAATAGCCAAGTTTCACCCAAGTTCAAAAGATCCATGCTCAGAGCTCCTTCACCCACAAAGCACAGATCCGATGCGTGATGTCCTAGTTTCTGGATGACTCTTGTCATGCACTGCATTTTGTAGTAAGACACGCGTGCGCAACTTTTTGTAGAACCCAGTGCGTCCCCCTCCAGATAAGCCCCAAAAAGATCAAAAAAGTTCGAAAAACATGCTTTTTATGCAGAGGCTTTAAGAAGGAAAAATGGGACAGATTTGGTTTAAAACCGATCAATTGAATTTGAAGTTGTGCGCTTAGATCGTTTTGTTGCCCCATAGCTCTGAGCATCGTTGTAGAAAACCTCTTGAAAGGTCAATTCTTGGAATCCGATGGAAATCCCAAGGTTGTATTTACTTGTGCTCGGCAAATGCTATGACCTGGGCCCGGAAAGTGAACCAAAGATTTAGAGTGAAATTTCCAGAAACCATTTAGTAGCGAATCATGATTTTTCATTGCAACCCGTTTTCACTACAAAATGGTTACGCAAGGGGGGTTGGTTCAGATTCAAACATCATTTTGTAGTATAAGGCTGTGTTTGTAAACGGTTTAGTGGGCACAACTTCTCTGCAGAATGCACAGGGATGGAAAGGCCATGATATATATCTTCTCCAAGAGACATTTACGTGTAACGATTCTTACGGGTAACGATTCTACCACAAAGGCCCGATGCTCCGCCACACCATTAACCCCCAATCACTGGATGTCTACCCGTCTGTTTCTAATCCGCCGAATTTGCCTTTGATTCCTGAAAGCACACTGTTTGGGGTCTCTTTCCGGGAGAATTAATTCCAAATTCAGGAAATTAGTTGGGGAAAAATAAATCTGGAAAGTCGGTTCTTTTCTTTTTTCCGCAAGCTGAACGCAGGATTTTTCAACATCCATTTTTTTTGTCCCAAAAAAAACGCTTGTGGAAAGGTCGTTTTTGACGCCCCAGGTGGCTTGGGTCTACCTTGTCTTCGGCTTCACCATCGAAGTGGCAAATGCTCACACCACCACCCCGTCCTTCCTGCAGCTCAGCTGGCAATTGGGTGCAGTGCTGCCAAAACATGCAGTACCATTAGTACCATTGGCCAGTAACGGGTGCCAAGAGGAAACTTATCCGAATCTTCTGACCCAATCTGCTTGCAGAGGGAATACCACAATGTGACAGCCCCAAGAAACCTCCGATCCATTGAAATACCTGGTTTGCTGTTTGTTTTTGCAGCACCAATAAGAGTTGTTATTTACATGAAACCTGTTGGCTAATTTTTGTTGTTTATAGTCTACAACTTTGATTGCCCACCAGACTACTACTTACAGACTCTTACAGTACACGGAAATACACGGAATGTCAGGAACCCTTTCCACCACTGGTGCCCCTAACCCATGGTGCCACACTGCAGCTGCGAACGCAGGAGCGCCGGTGGAGTGCCAAACAACCTCCGCGACCCACGGTATCGCCCCCCGAAAGTGGGCGCTCATGAACCTACAGAGGCAGCATCAGGGAGTCCAGGGAGGGATAGAATTCCTGCTGACCTCAGTTGGTAGTGGGGAAATTAAGGGAAACCACGCTGATTTGCCAAAATAAGAGAGAGATATATATATAAATAATATATATAATATATAATATATAATATATATAATATATATATAATATATAATATATATATATATATTATATATTATATATATTATATATATTATATATATATATATTATATTATATATAATATATATATATAATATATATATATAATATATAATATATATAATATATATTATATATATAATATATAATATATATAATATACATATATATATATAATATATATATTATATTTAATCATAATAATACATTGCCACGGCAAGAGAGCGCCCAGAAGGCCAGCTACCGGGCACCGGCTGTACACTTTCAATATGTAGAATATGATTCTCTTCCAACCGAAGAACATCTGGGAAAATCGGAGGTTTTGAGTGTGAAAGTGATATCTGAAATGAAGATCAGGCAAGGTTTTTTCCAAATGGTCTGGCAGCCTTGAGTGGTAAGCAGACTCCAAGTGAACAACTGAAGGAGTCCACATTGATCAGATGTGTAAGGGCGAATCCCGCAGCATCCGCAACTCTTGTGCTGAAGTCAAAGCAGATGTTCCCTTCCCATAATTGATCATCACAAGGCCATGGATAGGATTTCATATAGGATGAGCCCAAATTAAAGGCTCTGCGAACCATATAGGTTGGTCATTTTCAGTATCAAATCGTTACAACTTGACCGATGGCCATGTACCCCTTCAGGAATCCACCTTTTGGTGGAAGAGCGTGGAAAGACTATCCCCAACGCACAAAATATCAGGAGCTGAATGACCATGGCAGCCTGAGCCTTGCCCCAGGTGGGAACAGGCGGATCATCTCATGGCCCAGCGGTTGGTGTCAAGCATCATGCCCGACGTTTGCAAGCCCTAGAGGGAGTTTCAACAAGAGACTTGACAGGAAGGGCAAATGACAATGTGCTTTTGCTGCTGTAGTACGGAACCCATTCTTTTCCAGTATTTTCAGGTTGCTGAATGCTCATATGTCATAGCTGACATATCCTAATTAGGACAGGTGGGATCAGCAGCGCTCAGTGGCTGCTAAACTTGTCATGTTCTCAGAGGACTCTTGCTTGGCCATGCAAAAAGTGATTAAGTTGCCCCGGAATTAATTGTTTGCAATGAAGATATCGGCGGAGCCAATTACCTTTGTGGCAACCGGTGGTATCAGTCTTGAAGTAGGAGCACAATCGTTCCAAGGAAAGGCTTCTATGTCTAAAGATGGTCGACTTTCAGCTTTGTTCAGTGGAACCATTAGCAGCATCATTTTTTCAACAGATGTTTCTCGTATGTTTGACTTTTTTGGGTATCTTTCAACAAACCCTGGGCACATGTGGCTTTGGCCACCTAGGTGACATTATTTCTTCTTTGCCCCGCGAAGAGCTCCAGGGCAGCATGAGGTTTGACTTTCGTGATGTCTCAATGTGTTCTTTTATTTTTTACTTTTCTTGTGAAGCCTTCTAAGGTAAATTTAGACTCTTTGGTTGGGAAGTTTTCGGGAGAATCTCTTGCCTGGAAAGGGGAAGATTAACACCCTCGACTCGCTGTTGTGGCATTTCCCGTTGCGGGGGAAATGATCTTCACATTGTTTTTTTCAAGAGTCTTACAGAAAAAAACCTGCGTTTGACAGAGACAATCACGCGCATGTCGATCGTGTCATGTCGTGTGACACAACAGGTGGTGTATAGCATTTTTGATTCAAAGAGAGCCAGACACAGCTCGGCCTGGCCTCTGAATGGTTGCGTTGCACCAAGGCTGGTCGCGAAGATCCGCAGCGCTTTGCCATACCTTGCCCAACTGGCAAAGGGCGGCAGTCGCCCCACTGCAGCACTTGAGAAGTCTATGATTGACACGACCACAGCGATGCCACAGGTGGGGGATTCAGGACTCCAAGGAGATGTGTTTCACACATTTCACAAAAAAACAACCTGCATTTTGTGACATGACACGTGTGACACGTGGCAACATTGGCTGCTTAACAGCAGGAAAATTGCTTTACGACACAAAGTCGTGCTGAAATCAAGGTCGCTGGCACATGCAATTTTTTGATATGGGCAAGAAGTTTGCCGCAACACCTGGACAAGTTTCCCACAAGAGGTAGGGGGTCCTCAAACAGTACTTCTTCAAGATGCACATCAAAACATGATTTTGAACTATGGGATGTGCAGCACATAAGAGCAGCTGGAGCTAAAATGAATGACTGTATCTAACATGACCTTACATGAACATCACACAACATGACATGATGCGTTAGCATGCAACAGGACATGGCATGACATGATATTCAGCAACGTACGGTTCAACATAATCAACATACATTCTGTTCCGCATCCACAAAAGATCGGGGACGATGGCACTGCCCATGGCAGGCCAAAGCCACCGCTATCCGTTGGCCCGCGATGTTTGAACCGAGGTCATGAGGGCGTGGAAAGAACACCGTGATACACCATGTGTTTGAGAATTTCTTGATATTTCTTGCATGAATCGGGATACAAGCAACAAATATGGTGTATCCTTTGCACAATCTACTCTATTGTGGAAGGGCTGGAAGGCTGCTGGCGTCAGCAACTGTCTGGCAATTGTCAAATTTTGCAGCTGTGAAGATGATCAGATCGTAACCTATTAGATCGATTTAGATCTTAGATCGCATTAAAAAATGCTGGGGGGTTGTCCTTGGTGGAGGGATACCGGATCCTAAAGCAGCATCCTCACCATTGAAAAGAAGAGTTGTTGGATCTACAATTTGTCTATAATACAGTTAATAATACATGCTTGTTGGAGGTTGACCCATTGTGAGCTACCCCGCAAAGAGAAGCTGTGGGCATGGAGGATGTGGACGATTAGAATGATTAGAATACTCCCTCACTGCATGGGTTCAAAGATCTGGGAAGAGATTTGTGTGGCCTATTTGTATTTTGTGAGTTGAACGCAGGTTGATGTGCGGGCATGCTACAACTTCCAAGCTGCTTGCACTTTCGCACCATGGACGCGGTCCCTGGGCTGTGGCAGTTGGGGTGACGCATGGTGCTGGGTGATGGTGGTGTGCTTTGGAAAACAAAGATAAAGTTTGGTCTTGGCCCATCGGCAAACGGTGTGGTTGGCATATGTTGGCATGGTACAATCTAAATGGCAGACATATCAGAAGATTTAGGTGCAAATGAGGTACCAGTGGCAGCAGAGCTGAATGATGGTCGCAGGTCTCCATGGGGCCAACATGGCACTGACATGGCTCAAAACGATTCAAACGATTTAGGAGCATGCACATCCTATGGATGGAAAGTGTAAATCGAATTCGAGCCCGGAGCTATGCTGAAACCTGGCTGAGGTTTAATCATCACCCCAGAGACCCATGCAGAGCCGCAACAGATTGCCTTGCATGGTGACTTGCCAAGCATTACGCTTCACTGACCCCAGCATACGAAGCGCATGATCTCTAGAATGAGGAGAAGAGGTTTCTTGTCCTTTCAGTTCACTGACCGCGTGACTGGATGACCCTGACAAAGAAGCGGCTAGACCTTTGAGCCGCTGGCCGTTCCACTGGTAGTCGGTGGGCCTCTTCGGCATCCTGACTGGACAACTGAAGTAATCACACCAAAATGAATTCAACACTCTAAGGTTAGAGTACTTCCACTATGTTCCGCTAGCACCACGTGGCATTTCATCCCATCTTTCATTCGCGGCATCTCAGCAAAGGTAACATGGGTCCGTTGCTGGCAGCTCACTGGGACGAGCGCGGCTTGATGCTTTTGGCCTCCTCCGGGGCCACGTTCCACTGCCGCGAAGCCGTTGGGTGGTGGCCTTGCCAGGCACGGGGACCTGGATCAAGCTGGGGCATGTGCCCCCAACACCGCCGTCCAAGAACACGTCCTTCCACTCCCGCCACCCCCCCAAAATGTGACGCTCCATGAAAGTCCGTGTGGCCAAGTGATGCCAATTTGTGACTCGGGTGAGAAGGCAGAAGAGGTTGCAGCACGCACTTGTGTCCCATGGAAATGGCGCTAGATTGTAGGGTAGACCGGTAGACCATCCAAAGAGGGAGCGTTGTGGCACCCAATCTTGAGAAATCACTTTTAGATAGGACATGTAAGCATGTAGGTATGTTTATTTAACAAAGAGACAATCATTCCCTGAGTATAGGGAACCGATCCTGAAGCATCTTGGGATGACCAGAGGTGTGATTGTTTTGTCACAAACTGAAGAATCGGAAACTATACCCACGACGGTCTAATTGCTGGATATGTCAGGTTAACATGAATATTCCCCAAAACTAGGAGAGCACTCCGTCTTGCCGACCAAGTATGCTTTCCATCTCCTAGGCCAGATACAATTTATATAATACTGCACTAGATCAATACTGGAGGCATGATTCAAGTGCTTGGACTCTTGAGAAACTGCTCCAAAGAATGCTCGGCAAGTCTGAACCAAAGCCATATCCCTTGCACCATGAAGAGTCTGCTGCTACGCGCTATTGTGAGAAGTGGTACGTGGGTGCCTTACTGGGCAAGGATTTGGTCACTGAAGGGACAGTTGGTGCCCACAGAATCCTCTCCCTTAACCAGCATGGTTTATATTATATCACTGAAAAGTTTGGGGGGTGAGACCCAAATGGGGTGAGAAAATCCCCTTTAAAAATATGAGAAAACATGGGAAATGAGGGAAAATAATGGAAGATAATGAAAAAATATGACAACATGACAAGGGACATAAAAACATGACAATTTGAGAATTTGACAGTTTGCGAGAACTGTGGCTCAAACTTCTCAGTCAGTGCGCTTGGATGGTATCCAGCACGAGTTTGCAATGTCAAGGGCTCAGGTTCGTACAAAGCCTGTGGGCAGATCCATCACATGTGATTCTCAAAGGAGAATCAGGACAGCAGTGGTCTCCTGTTTCTTGTAGGTCAAAACATCTTCAAATGAACGAGCTTGAAATGGCATGGTCTCACAGAGGGCAAGGTAGGGCAGGGTCTCGCCCATCAAACATCTTCAAATATCTTCACATGAATTAGAACAGATGGCAGGGTCTCACACATCAAGGAAGGCAGGGTCTCACAGAAAGGCAGGACTTCACAGAAGACAGGGTCTCGCCCATTAAACAAAGGCAGGGTCTCACAGAAGGCAGCACAGAAGGAAGGCCCCTCGCAGAAGGCAAAGCGTCACAGAAGCCAGGATCTCACAGAAGGCAAGGTCTCACAGAGGGCAAGGTCTCACAGAAAGCAAGGCGTGTCACTCATAGCAGGGACTCACACAAGGCATGGTTTCACATCTGAAACAAAGGCCTGGTTTCACAGAACACAAGGTGTCACATGCTGAACTGAGGCCTAACTCTCACAGAAGGAAGGGCCTCGCAGAAGGCAGGGCCTCACAGAATGCAAGGTCTCACAGAAAGCAAAGTCTCACAGAGGGTCCAACATTATGAACAAAGGCAGGGTCTCAGAGAAGGAAGGGTCTCACAGAAGGCAAAGCCTTACAGAAGCCAGGGTCCCACAGAAGGCAAGACTTCACAGAGGGTCTCACAGAAAGGCAGGGCTTCACAGAAGACAGGGTCCCGCCCACTAAACAAAGGCAGGCTCACAGAAGGCAGGGGGGTGCCAAGCCTAGTTTGGCTACAGGCATGCGTATCACATATGACGCAATGCAGGGTCTCACACAATAGACAGGGAAACAAAGGATTCCGCACCTGAAGGTGTTTTCACCCGTGAAATCACACGCTCCCGAACTGTTGCTCTCCTCTCCTGCTCCCACACGCGAACTGCTCTTGCTCACTTTCTGGTTGGCGGCAGAATGACAGGACCGGCCCTGGACATTCTTCCATAACTGAAGTTTAGGATTATATACTTGGTCTATGATAGGAGCAAGATACAATCTATAGACATGTAGCACATTTTTCGATAAATTAAACAGACGGCAGGGTCTCACACATCAAGGAAGGCAGGGTCTCACAGAAAGGCAGGGCTTCACAGAAGACAGGGTCTCGCCCATTAAACAAAGGCAGGGTCTCACAAACGGCAGGGTATCATAAAATAAACCAAGTCAGGGTCCCTCAGAAGGAAGGGTCTCACGGAAGGCAAAGCCTCACAGAAGCCAGGGCCCCACAGAAAGCAAGGCCTCACAGAAGCCAGGGTCTCACAGAAGGCAAGATCTCACGGAGGGTCTCACACAAAGGCAGGGCTTCACAGAAGACAGGGTCTCACCCATTAAACAATGGCAGGGTCTCACAGAAGGCAGGGGGGTGCCAAGCCTAGATTGGCTGCAGACATGCGTATCACATATGACGCAATGCAGGGTCTCACACAATAGACAGGGAAACAAAGGATTCCGCACCTGAAGGTGTTTTCACCCGTGAAATCACACGCTCCCGAACTGTTGCTCTCCTCTACTGCTCCCACGCGCGAACTGTTCTTGCTCACTTTCTGGTTGGCGGCAGAATGACAGGACCGGCCCTGGACATTCTTCCAAAACTGACGTTTTAGGGTTTACATTTGGCTAATGATAGGAGCAAGATACAATCTATAGATATGTAGCACAGTTTTCGATATAAATTAGAACAGATGGCAGGCTCTCACACATCAAGGAAGGCAGGGTCTCACAGAAAGGCAGGGCTTCACAGAAGACAGGGTCTCGCCCATTAAACAAAGGCAGTGTCTCACGGACGGCAGGGTATCATAAAATCAACTAAGTCAGGGTCTCACAGAAGGAAGGGCCTCACAGAAGGCAAAGCCTCACAGAAGCCAGGGTCTCACAGAAGGCAAGGCCTCACAGAAGCCAGGGTCTCACGGAAGGCCAGGTTTAGCAGAGGGCAAAACTTTAGAGAAAACAAGGTGTGTCACTCATAGCAGGGACTCACGCAATAGACAGGGGGAAACAATGGATTCCGCACCTGAAGGTGTTTTCACCCGTGAAATCACACGCTCCCGAACTGTTGCTCTCCTCTACTGCTCCCACACGCGAACTCCTCTTGCTCACTTTCTGGTTGGCGGCAGAATGACAGGACCGGCCCTGGACATTCTTCCATAACTGAAGTTTAGGATTTTATATTTGGTCTATACTAGGAGCAAGGTACAATCTATAGACATGTAGCACATTTTTCGATATAAATTGAACAGACGGCAGGGTCTCACAGAAAGGCAGGGCTTCACAGAAGAAGGGGTCTCGCCCCTTAAACAAAGGCAGGGCCTCACAAACGGCAGGGTATCATAAAATAAACCAAGTCAGGGTCTCACAGAAGGCAAAGCCTCACAGAAGCCAGGGCCTCACAGAGGGCAAGGCCTCACAGAAGCCATGGTCTCACAGAAGGCAAAGTCTCACAGAGGGCAAAACTTCACAGAAAGCAAGGTGTGTCACTCACAGCAAGGACTCGCACAAGGCATGGTTTCACACCTGAAACAAAGGCATGGTTTTACAGAACACAAGGTGTCACATGTTGAACTGAGGTCTAACTCTCACAGAAGGCAGGGCCTCACAGAAGGCAGGGCCTCACAGAATGCAAGGTCTCACAGAAAGCAAGGTCTCACAGAGGGTCTAACATTATGAACAAAGGCAAGGTCTCAGAGAAGGCACAGGAGGGAAGGCCTCACAGAAACGCAGGCTCTCACAGACTGCAGGGCCTGACTGAAGGCAAGGCCCAACATGTGAAAGAAGGCTGGGTCTCATAGAAGGCAGGGTCGCACATAGGACAAAAGGCAAAACTTCACATGTGAGAGAAAGCAAGGTCTTACATGTGACAACAGGTAGGGTCTCACATATGGCAGAAGAGGGTCCCGCAAATGACAGAAGGCAAGGTCTCACACGCGAAAGAAGGAGGGTCTCGCACATGACACATTGCAAGGTCTCACAGATCTAACAGGGTCTCGCTTATGACAGAAGGCAGGGTCTCACACACGAAAGAAGGAAGGGTCTCACAGATGACAGATTGCAAGTCTCACAGATCTAACAGGATCTCGCAGGACAGAAGCCTAGTAGGTAGG